CAAAAACACACACAGAAACAAACAAACGCAGCAAAACAAACATGCAAAGAACTCAAGATCACCATGGTCCCTGCCAGTCAAGTTCTATTATTTCTGGTTTGTTCACTATCATCAATTACAATTCTGGATTTTACATGTAACCAGTTGAAAGGAGTCCAGAGCATACGCCACTGGAGGGAGTATGTTGCAATTGTAGAAACTTCCTTACAAAAAATTCCTTTTTTATTCTCAAGACCTCCCCACTCTATGACTAATCAAAATACTTTCACGCAAGAAATTCAAAAATGCTTTCTAAATATGGCATAATAAATTTCATCACAACTATAGATATTGGATACTGAAATAATTAAGATGGTTTTTTATTCATGCTCCATAAGTGACCCCATTTTTCCCCAGGTTACCTGTTTCTACACAGTCTTTTGCATCTCATTTTAGTTTTGCTATGACCTAGATGAGGAACTAAAGATCTTATGTTATTTATGCCTAAGTCTAGTTTTACTTGTTTTCTAACGAACAGATCTGTAAATACATTGGGCTTTTCCCAGAAACTCTATAACCCTTTCATAAAATACTGGACGTAGACTCTCATTTTTTTTTGAGATAGCTAATTTCCACATCTTCAGTGATGTGTATGAACTGTTTCGACTTTATAAATTCTCTTTTGGTCCCTCTAATTTCCTGTTAACAACAGACAGAAGTTCATTTCACACACCACTAAAGCCTTCCCTCATAGCAATATTCTATTTGATACATGCCTGAAGTACACTTTGAACAAGGAATAAATCTCATACATGCGCCATCTTCTCAAATACTGTCTTTGACAACAGGACCATAACTCTCTTAAAATTAAAATTCAGGTGAGTCATTGGCTTGCTCCTGATCCAAAGCACCTACAAAAAACTACATTTCTTTCTTCATCCCAAAGGCAAACTAATATAAAGGATTTAAGATTATGTATACCATACACAGAGCATCAGTCCAAGCTTAAACAGAGATCCACCAGGTGTGCCTTTCAAACAGAATTAAAAAATCGTACAGATATTTTCCAATGAGAAAATTAACTCCTGTACAAAACAAAGTAATGTCCTTGTTAGTTTGGGTACTTTAACTAATTAGCATAGAATACAGGAAAAGATGAAAAAATTTCATCTTTAGCCATAGGATGCATCAAACCTTTTGAAGGGATCATGCTACATGTATTAGATCATATTGCCAGATATTTATTACCCAAGGAAACACAATATTCCCACAGTCCCACAATTTATTGTAACTTTACAAATGACAGTTTATTTTCAGTAAGTGTTCCTCTCATGAACAGAAAAGAGTGTTAATCATATCCATAAATATTTATTTTGTCAATTTTACCTAGAAAATTATTTACTCTGTCAATTTTAGCATAATTTCAGTAAGATATTGCCCCTTTAGAAAAGAAAAAAAAAGAAAAAAGGAAAATACTTTTTATTAGATGATACTCTGTGCTTCCACTCTCAAAATGTTTTTGGAAATAGTATTCATATTCATAAATTAAAGTCATAACAGTAACTCATCTAAAGACTTAGGCATAAATTATAATTAAATTTTCCATTGCAGGAAAAGCTACACTTCCCATGAATTCCAGACTGAATCAGAAGTTTTGTGAAAGGTCAGGGTTGTTTGTATTTCATTGATGTATGTATGAGATTTTGTATCTCATTTTATGTATCTCTCTTTTTTGAGAACTGTGTATATTTTCAAAAAAATCTTAAACAGTATGCTTTAAATTTATGAATACATGGTTCACAAGAACTCTGCAGTACACTGTCTTCAAAATTAAGAGTTCTGGCATCAAAATTATTCCTGAATAGATATCATATGCATTTCTGTATTATGCAGTTCCTAGCACAACAAATCTTTGATGCAGCCATTAGAGGTCTCTGGCAGTGCTAGACATGTAGTTAAGTACAAATCACTAGAGAAAAGTTTCTCTTCCATTACTAAAAGCAGTCAGATACAATTTTGCTACCTCTACCATAGAAGGACATAGACTGATCCACATGATACAAAGACCGAGGTTCATTCTCTTCTGGTGAAGAATAATTCTTCAGATCATGTTTCTAAGCATTAGATTGATTTTACTGTAAGAGTAGTAGATATTTTTTAATCCTTGTTTTCTTACACAATTCTCTAACATAATTTTTGGAGCAGTTTATGATATTCTTACAGAATTGCAAGTTACAGCATAGGATTCAGGACATATGAGGATATCATGATTAATCATGGTAAAACTGCCCTCTGACCAAATTACTCCAGCAGTATTACTTAAATCTCTAGGCTAACATGAGTTCGAACACAAGAAGACTTCCATTCTGCTCTCCTATAAATAGAGTTTGAATATTTCTTAGTTTATTGTAAATTACTAGAGTAATTTTCAACATTTTCTGACATCATATCTTTTAAGCAAGGGAAACTTTAAAAAACAATGTCTGTGTAAAGATGAATTTATCAATTTGTTTACTATCAGTGATAAAAGGGGAGAAAAGGCTAAAACTTTACAAGCAATTTCATGAGGAAGTATATTTTCTGTCTCATGTTCAAGTATTTTGACAACACTAACAAGGGAATATCTTACAGCTTTCCGTCACTGTTTAGAACTTTGATCAGTGAGTTTTGCAGTGTTTTTTTGCATACCTGTTTCCTATATCTTGGATTCCTTTTCTCAAAAGCACAGGAAGTTATACATAAATTATATCACTGATCCATGCAAGGCAAGTATAATATACTGATATTTGCTAAAGTGCATGATCCATGTATTTTTGCACCAGGTTATTGGTAATTGGTAATTGCACCAGGTAACTGGTTCCATTAAAATATCCCTTTTTGTGATTTCTCTTTGTAGTGAAAATAAGACGCAAAGCATGATATAAATGGTAAAAAAAAAAAAAAAAAGAAAACCAACAAAAAACAGAAACAGTCTCTTGGTTTCTTAAAAATAAATAACTTAAACTTCTTTAATCCTAAAAAATATATCTTTAGAGATATACATCTTTATTATGTCTAGATTTAGTGAGTTATACTGTGGCAACATTTACCTGGCCTAGCACTCCATTAAGGCATTGTTCATGTGCAAGACCCAGATACCCATACATACATTGTTTAACTGAATTACCACATTCACGTTCATTAAATTCCTTTTTCAAATGGCAAAACCAAAAACATTCTTTAACAAAGTTAGCAAACACAAAATATTTCCCAAATAGATTGAATGAAATGCAATAAGCTAGCACCTAAGTTATACATTATCTATTTTGATATTAGATCACTGTTTCACAACCCAACCACCAAAAGAACTCTTTCAAGTTCAAACTCAAGAATGCTTATGGTTTAAGATTAAATAATAATATGACTAACTGTGATAGAGGCAGATAAAGTACCAACTACCACAATTAATAGGATTAAAATCATTGCATGATGAATAATTCTTTCTTTGTATGGATGCTACCTGAAAAGAGGACAAATATTTACACATTAACAGAATGTATATATTTCATATATTTATGGGAAGTTTTAAAAATATAGAAAATAATGAAACTGTACCAGCAATACTATTTCACATCCATTTTTCAGGAATATAAACAAGAACACAAAGTGTGTAATGTTCAATTGTAATACAGATTGCTACTATTGCTAATCATATTTAACACTGGAGTTCAACATACTATTAAATGGAAATTTATATTGAAATCAATAACAAAATTCCCATTGATTTAATAGACCCAAGTTTTAACTACTGGTAACAACACAAGTAACTTATGGTTTATATTCAGAACAAGTACTTTTCATAGAGCACAAGTGATAAACACTACCATTTTAATCACTATTCCTGTCAAATTGAAAAAATTTGTGTCTTAGCATATTTCTGAGTGAGATCAGAATACGGATGGCATGGTTTGGACAATTTCTTTCTCCAAATCTGTACAGGGTAAGGGTCACAAGTTTGTCCTGGGAAATGTCATACATAGTGAAGAAATTCCCAGAAGCGTATCTATTTGAAGAAACCAAAGCAATAATAATATGGAAGTCTCCTCTCCTACTCACACATCAGTGGAAAACATTTACTTTCAATAATGTTATCCACTTGTTTTATTTCAGTCTCATTTAGATTCTGCACATTTCAGCAAGAGGGGTTCACAACGGGAAGTTGTTTCAAACTTTTCACTTCTTGGAGTGTTTATTGGGATTTTGGAGAAGCTGTTCATAACACTGGGCATAGTTGGAAGCTGACCCATATCTGCATTCACAGCTTTGACACAAGAGCACAGAACCTGCAGGTAAGGGAGGAAGGACGGAAGAAAACATTACCAGGAATGATAATTCTGAAAGATATGATATGAAATACTGAGTTCTTCTTTGGGCAGTCTTCTTTTAGGCATGGACTTCTTATATTTGCTGGTTTCCTGGATGCTGGGGGTAAAGTATGCCACTATACGCACACACACACACACACACAAAGGAAAAAAAATATATGTATATAAAAGCTATGAGCTTTTTGCTTATAGGAAGAAAATTCCCTTGTACCATAAAAAGGGATCTCTTCATTCCATAAAGAGAGATCAGTACCTCAGAGAAGGCTAGAATTAAGGCAAAGACAGGCCTGTGGACACAGAGAGTGGCTCCATGTTTTCCCACTTTTAAATCATAATGGATCATTTTAAACAAAGCCCTGCACCTGTAATTTGTTATCCAAGTGGGGGCTTCTACTCAATTACCAAGACCCTTCAGTAATAAAATCTGCTTGCTAGAAATAGGGCTCAAGAAATTTTTACATGTTCAACATATATAAGTATTTGCACACACTCACACACACATGTACATATACACGCACAAACATGCACACACACAAATTTATAGATAGAGGTATATATATATGTGCATATGCAAAGAGACAATATTGAAAACCATATTAGACTTGGAGTGTTATCTGCTTGTCAGAACCATTTAAACTACTATCTACACAGTACATATTGAAACTCAACTTTAAGATTTTTTATTTTTATATACAGTTCATTTTTCTCTGGAAATAAAATATCTAAATACAGACAGACTGTAGTAATGTTGTATATGTATAGCTTTCAACAATACTTTAGCTGAATAAATGCTTTGTACATAGTTCTGTCTTTTAATGGAGTTTACAGCTACATTGATAAAATGGATTCCTCATTTCCTTGATTGTTTTTAACCAATAACAAGCAGAGAGACAATTACAAGTTAATATTAATAAGCAGCTCAAATAACACTGGTTAAATTATGTACAATACAAACCATTCATACAAATGAAGACTAGGATATTGAATTTGTTACAATATTTTGTAATAAAGATAAGACAGCCACTTATAACTTACATGTTCTCCGCCAGGCATTTTCCTTCTTAGAGATCAATTGCAGTTTTTAAGTAACTTGGCCTAAACTCAAACAAGTTTAAAGAATCAGAGCTTAAAGAGTCAGAGAAACATGAAACCAGTATGTCTGCTCACATGTAAATTCCAAATGTTTGCCCATCTTTACTAGGAAGAGGCTCACTCCACGGAAAAAGAGCCACCGAACACCACCTCGAATGTGCCTACTGTGTGCTGGAAAAAGTCATGACGCTTTGCTGTGTTCATATAATAAGAAATACTGAGCTCTAGACACACATTTTTCCCATTTTAACAAGTATTTACTCCTACAGTATTGTTTACCAGTACAGCTACTTCAAGCAGTAGAATGCATGAGTGGGGATTATTGATTGGCATGTACTCGAAGGACTTTCAAGGAGATTTCCATGACAGTCTGCGTTAGAAACCTTGTTCTGTCTAGTTAATCCATTTTGCTTGATGAGAAGTTATCCTTAAACCTTAGACATGAGACAATGAAAGCTTTCTTAATAGGAATCTCAGTAATGTGCACTGAAAAGTATGTGTGTCTCTGTGTATGTGTATGGTTTTATTTCAAATCCATAGTGATTTACACCTAGATTGATACATGGAGCTGACTGGGCAAAAATTACATCAGATTGTTTTCCACTAACATATTTGCAGCCATTTGACAGCAGCAGCAGCAGGTAGACACATTCCAGGCAATAGATGTGGCCTTCCTCCTTGAGGTTACAGACCTGTCATACAACCTCTTATTCCCCAGGCTTCAGTCTCAGACAGAAGTTGGTCCTCACCCTGATGGGAAGTAGGGTGTGTCACTGTGGTAGTTGTAATCAGGACACACCTTCTGTACTAGTTTATAATCTGTACTATAAAAGGAAATGTAAATACAGATTACTTTAAAGGGCTTGGAGCAGAGCCATGATACGTGGCTCTGGGTCTGCTCCTGATAACACGTTTTTGAAGGGTCATAGTTGCAGAGTGTGTTCTTGGTAGCCTTGTCAACCTTTTCATACTCGATTCGACAGTTAAAGGACTTGGAATCTTTGGCATCAATCACTGTCTGTTGTGCCAAGTCAAATTCCACTATTTTTGTAGGGGGCACTAGGCTCACAGATACATTCCCTTGACCAGTGGAGTTATGCCTGAAGTAAACACTAAATGTCCCATTGCCATGGTCAACGATTTTCCCTGTTATTAATAGATTTAACTTCACAGTCTTGATGTTGGAATGAAAATCTCCCCAGCCAAACATTTTCTTAAATTTCCCAGTCTTGACAATGGGCCGTCTCTTTGCTCTGGGTCGAGGCTCTTGCAGATCTGTGGAGTTCCTCAGCCAGTCCCAGAGATCTTGCTCGGAATAAGTTTCTGGGGCATCATATCGCAGGTCCAAATCTGTATCATTTTCCTTTCCACGAAAAGTCTGTGACAGCAGTCGGCTGATGGATAAGTCTTTGCTACTTTCTGTCCATATATGCTTCAGTGTGGATTTGGAGCTTCCTGATTTTAATAGTTCTGTTTTTCCTCCATTTGTTAAATTTGCACAGGTAACCTGAAAAAAGAAGGGAAGAAGGAGAAGAGATATTGAGATATGTAATGCTACCACTTGAGACCAAAATGACCATATTTCAAAATCATAGGGAATTTTTTTTTTGAGAAATTAAATTACATCTCTCTACTCAGTAAACCAAACCAGAAATGTCTATTTTCCTCTATTTTCCGAGGAGTTATTACTTAATTCTCCTTTGCCAGTTTTTTACACTACCCTTCAGATTTAATCCCAAGACATTCAAAATATTCTCCTGCTATGATGTCTGTAAGTGATGAGTAGGTAACGAATTACTACAAAAAACAAGGTACGTAGCCGTGTCATCCTTCGGTCTGTATGGGGCATCTCAGAGTGAAGCATTCTGGCTTGAATGTTCTCTCTGCAAACTGGTTGTGTTCTCCACTATCAGAGTCACATTCATTTTTTTTTTTTGCTGCCCCTAGTGTCCACTGTCAGGGTGCTGTCTTGGTGGTGCCAGCCTGCCCATGCTCAGAGTCCATGTCATTATGAATCTAATAAGAGTAATATAATTTCCCTACTCCTTTTATGAGTACACACTGGTCTGTGTTCTTGACTGGGACCCTCAGTCACAACTACAAAATAAATAAAGAATAATGAAAATTTTAATGAGTTTGACATCGACAGCTGTACATACTGTGTAATCCACCTCAATTAATACAGGAGGAGTCACAGTCTTTTCTTATAGTCCCTTACAGACTAGCTACTGATTTGCCTTGTCTGTATCTAGTATGACGTGCATTTCTCCTTCCTTGCTTCATTTCTTTTTTCACCATTTCCTCCCCAAATCAAATAGTGATCTGTGTAAGACAGAAAGCCTTTTGTGTACTTACAAGAAAAATAAGGCCACCAATTTAAAAGTACTAATAAAAAAATTTGCAAAATCACATTTAAAAAAGACAGTCTTGCAAAATTTCCTACAAAATCATATATTTCAGACATAGTTTGTCACAAAATTTACTGTCAGAGCAATTTGTCTTGCTTATAGTTGTTCTCTTTGCCTTAATTGAGTGGAAAACAGAAAACAGATGCAGGCTCGCAGCTGTCTAACATGCAGCACTGGCAGAGAGCTCTGATCGAGTGTTGCAGGGAGTGCTGGAATTGGTGGGGCAGCGGGTGGATGGAAAGTGACTGACAACACGTTATTCCATTCCCTCTGAAAATTTTCACCACACACACTGCCCCATTTTCTAACATTTACACTGCTCTGAAGAGGCCATCACGTTTCTTATTTCCCTTTTCACGGCTACATATGAGATTCTGAATATGCCTCCTTTGTTCCTCTGATTTACATGTTTCTATCATACTTGCAGTTACATCTTTCTCTTCACTTAAAAATGAATTGAGTGCATTCCCTACCCAGGAAACCCATTGGAAACCAGATAGTATTTAAATCATGTCCCCTCCCTACTGGTACAACTGCAGGTATATGTCACAGAGGATATCTATCATAACATGGCCTTTTCATTTCCTAAAAACTCTGAAATTGAAGCATGCTTTCATTAACTTCAGTAGTTTTTCAAGGTCAGTTGAAGGCATATACATAAAATCAGTCTAAATTGTCTTAATACACTAATTAGATAGGAGATATGCCCCCAGCCTTTTACAGTAAATACATAGATAATTAAGTCTGTCACACCCCACCCTATACCTCCCCAGTGCATTTCAAGTTGGTGGGCCAAAAAGGATAATAGATAAAATATGGGTTTAATTCAGGATTTTGCCAAAGATATTACTACTTCATTTTTTGAATGGACAGAAGGATTAAACACAGACTAGCATTTCGATAGCCAGTTCATAGTTACATTTTAGCATCAACACAGTGAGCCAGGAGAGAAGCTGTAATAAAATGCACTGATGGTGCACTGGTTAATGAAGCAGCAATGAAAATGTCACAGGAAGAGAGAAAGAGACTCAGAATATATTTTTTTTTCTGTGGCATATGGGGAAAGAGGGAAAATAAGAAAAGAAATGTGGTTAAAAGGAAAAATGTGCCTGTCTAGCATGAATCTGTCAACATGCTATGAATCTAAGCAGTTAGCCAGCAGAGTTCGTAATCTGTAGGTAGGATACGGACTGCTTATCACTGTAATTTTCTTTGCTCACGGTTTTTTTTAATCTTTGTTTTTCTTTCTTCATCTTCAATCATCTTCATCTTCAATTATTTACATTTCATAGGATTACACTACAACTTCCATGTAACAAGATGCCTTTAAAAGAAGTGTCTCTTTTTTTTCAGATATATAAAACTGAACATTCAGGAAAGGAAGGAGATATTTTCTGAAATGATTGCTGACTGATCCAATACATTGAATAACATTGAAAAAAGTGGTTTTTTGAAAGCCAGCATATTTCATGGAAATAGACGATTTAGATTCCATGCATTCTATACTGCTTCATACCTGATCTAACAGATACAATTGATTGTTACTGTCATCGATTTTGTAATACCTGAAAGACTTCTGGTCATGCAGTTAGCCCCGAGACCTCTGTTTGCAATTTTCAGTGTGGATAACTGGCTATATTCATGATTAAAGGCCTGAACCTGCCCTCCCGAGTCAAGCGTCTGTGTAAGCACTAAAAAAACAGCCCACAAGGGTTAATAAAAAAGCTCTATAATTCATTTTTCTTTGCTAACATTTTCCAACCAACTGCTTTCTCATATACTGTTAGTATACTATGTGCTATAGAAAGTAGCTACATGTATCCTCAGAGACTCACACACCCAATAACACAGAGCATTGCTGTGTAATAGAATTTTTGCAAATGCAGCATTTTTTTCACATGAACCGATCCACAATTTTCTTCGATCTCTCCTTTCCAAACGCAAGGCTGCAATAATACAGGAAAGAGCGTACAAATGCATGAGATTTTGCGCTTAGTAGTGTGAAACTGAAACATAGACCTATTCTAGTGGTGCATGGAAAAAGAGCCAATTTCAAGTGGATAATAAAACAGCCAGCAGCCTAAATTCTATAGAGGTTTTTTTGTCCTCTTCCTTGAGGGTATCTGCATATAGTTCAGAAACTTGCACACTCTACCTCATAAAGTAATTCACTATAACCAGAGTTGCCTTCTTTTCCACAGCAAAGTGTCACTTCTATAATGAAACATCAGGAAGTTTGGCCCACTTGTAATGGCTCTAGCTAGGATAGAGTCAATTTTCTTTATAGGAGTTCATACAGTGCTATGGTTTAGACTTTTGACCCACATGCTGACAGCACGCTAATGTTCTAGTTCTGGTTGAACAGAGTTTTCCCAGCATCAAGGCCTTCTATTTTTCTCTTGGCCCCTCAAGTGAATAGACTGGGGAGAGGCACAGTGGATTGGGAGTGGACACAACTGAGCAGAGAACTTGAATTAACCAAAGATATATTCCATAATATGTAACATTAGCAATTAAAAGTGTGGGTTTAGAGGGGGTTAGACATCTTTTGTTCAGAAACTGACTGGTCACCACTCTACCCCTGGGAGTTAGTGAGCATTGACTTTGCATCACTTGTTCTGGTTTGTTCTCTTTCTCTTCTCACTTCTCTTTCTCTTCTCTTTTTCTTCTCTCCCACTTATCCTTCACTTATTAAGCTTTTCTTTATCTTGACTCTCAAGTTTTCTTGCTTTTATTCTTCCATTCCTCTTCCTCTGTCCCATAGGGCAAAGGCAGAAAGTAAGCAAAGACCTGTGAGCTGCCTAGCTGCCCACCAGTGTTAACCCACAACCCCACTGCAGTGCAATAAATCAATGTTGCAAGAGGGCAGAGTAGGGGGATTTCCTCCATGACTGCATAGCTAGAACTGGATTTGAATGACGATGATGGCAAAAATGTCCATATAGAAAAATAGTAAAGAAGCAAAAAGATCCAGAAATGCTTATCCAAGGGTTCGAATGTCATTGGAAAAGCAATCATTAAGCATGACAGACTGACATTTGGTTCTGGTCTTGTACTTTTAATAGAAAGTACAGATTTCCACTACCTAGTAAAGTCTACTGATATCCAAAAAGTACCAGGAGCTGACTGCTTGGTAGCTATTTTCCTATAAATAATGAATAATGAAAAATTTCTATTCCATTTCTTCTGCTTCTTCTATGAAGAAGCAAAGACAGTGGTTTCACTGGGAACAATATCCCAAAGCATCATTAAAAAAGACAGAAATTTATCTGTAATAATTTTTTGAATCCATTAAAATAGAATACTCCATTCATTCTGTATTCTTTGTTTTGAGGGTGAAAATTTTTTTGGAATGGTGTTTAACATCATTAAACACTTTTTAATGAATATATGTAGTTCTTTTAGGACTTCCTAAAGGATAGGCAGTTTATTTGTCTCAGAAATTTTGGAATTCTCTTTCACGACACTCAGGTCAAACCTGAACATTTGGAGTAGAGAAAATGAAATTGAAAAAGGATCTTAGGAATCCATGAAGGTGTCAAGTGATGATTTAGGCCCTCTTCTCAGTTTAAAATCAACCATTGGTATATTAATATTAATTTAAGGCTGATCGATTCAGAGATTAAAAAACTAGTAATTCAAAAAGGTACAGAATGCCTCTTGATTTCTCACTCTTTTCCTTTTATTCTAGCTCTATTACAGTTCATTACCTATAATTATAGTATTGGTTTAGAAATTATGCATTTATTCCTCCAAATGTGTGACTACTTGAGGGCAAATGAAAATATAAACAAACAATCTAATGCTCAAGGTGATAAATCTCTCTCTTCAGGTAAATAGCTAATCAAAACCAAGATTGTTTTTGCTGGCATAACACTGCAAGAACTTGGCAGCACTGTGTTTGCATATGCTCTGTATAAAAGAATTCAGAATTTTCTTTCCTCAGTAAGATAACCCAGATAACAACACACATTAAAAAGTACTGATGGACATTACAGTAAGCTGAACCATTATCGAGGCAGGACAGCACTCAGAAAGTTTTCAATTAGTCCCATGTTCTCATATTAATCCTGCTTATGCAATGGGTGAAGGAAAATCTGGACATAGTTTACTGTTCTACTCAGATCAATTTTTCTTCCTATACCTGTCTACACATTGTACAAAGTTACAACAGCATTTAAATATTTTATTAAATTAATAATTTCCAGACAAGTCAAATTCAATATTCTACAGGAATTTGATGATAAACAAAGAAATTGAGAATGCAAGTTGATGGAGATATTATAATAAGGGGGGGGGGTGTAAAACACACTGAAGGACTTGTACCTGTTGCAAACTGACACTTTTTCAAAAGGGAGGGCAAACACAGAAACCCACACATATTAATATTTCACAGAAACAAACCTCTCTGGTTTTAACTTACAAGCCTTTTGCTGCATGACATGAAAAAATTAAGGATGTGAGTTGGTCAATCAAAAAATGCAAACTCAGCTGAGTCTGAAAAATGGAACAGTAACTCCTGATCTACTGTGTCAAATGAGAACGCAAAAGTGGCTATGCAGGACCAAACCAAAGGCTCATTTAGAAAAATCTTCTTCTCTCCAAAAACAACTGTAAGAGATTCCTGGAGAAGAGCAAGAACATGGCCTCCTAAGTTCTCCCCAGCTGTCAATTCTAGTTTCCACTGCTAGGTATTGTTTCTGTATATGTTTCAGTAACTCTCAATAGACTGCTCTTCTGTGCATTTGCTCACTCTGACCCTTTGTAAACTTCTAATCTTCACAATGTACTTCAGCAATGAGTTCCACAGCTCTATTTCCTCAAACTGTTTTGAACCTGGCTCCTGAAGCCCTTGGAGTACTTTTCATTCTCCAGATGGAAAATTCAGGCTCTATCCAAATTTCCCATGCTCCTCTTTACTTTTCTTTGCTGCTACACATTAAACTTTTCTTGTACAAATATCAGTGAGTGGAAAATTTTATGATTTCTAGCTACATACAGCATCCCACTTCTAGCCCGCTAGAACATGTCTCAGTTGTATCCGTTCATAATAGTAAACAAATATTGATCACTTTTCCAGCCCTGACCCTTCTGGGCCACACAAATAATCCTTGTACATAAGCAATTCTATACATATACCTTTGAATTTCCTTTTTGTCCTTCTCTGAAGCCCACTTGGTTCCACTCCCAGTTCTGTCTTTAAAATGAGGAGACCAGAATGTAGCACAGTATCCAAGATTTGTCAGAGCCATGGTCCTGTATGATGGTAAATATGGCCTTCCACTATTAATTCAGACTTTTTTCTCTACTAATTCCTAATACTTTATTTGAGTTTGATCATTAATGAACACTGAACTGATGTTTGTATGAAACTGACAACACTAAAATTTCAATCCTAATTATACATGGAACTGGGATTTATATTTATAATATGTTTCACATTACTTGGGCTACCACAGAATTTCATTCCGTAATTTACTGCCTATTTACTAATTCTGGTAAGATCTCTCTGCCACTCCTCCCTCTTGGATCTTATCTTTTCTACTCTGAGATATTTTGTCATTAACAAACTTTCTCACTCACCTTCCCCTAGTCATTTACAAAAATGTGTTGAACAGTAGAGGTCCTTGCTCAGAGCCCTGCAGATTGTTGTGGTGACCTCCTTTTATTATCAACCACAGAAAAAGAGGCATTTGAAGTTTTCAATAATGCTTTCTAAAGTAATCACTTAGAATCATTCACTTCAGCATAAAAAATATAATTTGTTGTCACAGAAAACAGAGGCAAGGTAATATTTTTTACTGTCTTTAAGTTAGGAAATTGAACTTAAGATACATCGTTACTAAAATTTTTGCATAGAACTTCCTTAGGATTCGTAAAATTCAGATTAATACTATCAACTGCGCTCAGTTCAGCTTTAAATTCTGTATTTTTCTTGTTTTAACCTATGAGCTATCATTCTTGTTTCAAATGGCCCTTGTTAAAACAAAAATGTGGCTACCTGAGTTTTTTCATTCACACAACAGCGGTTATGCAAGATGAGAAAGCTGATATAAATTCAGTTGACAACAGCTGATATAAATTCAGTAAAATCTAACATCATTGAAATGAGAACGCCTATATCAGTTGATATCTCTTTGCGATCTGACTAAGAATCAAAGACTAATTAGAAAATTTGCACCCACAGAAAGATGAGGGCACGTATAAACCAACACTGGTTTTTTTGGAGCCATTATAATTCTTAACAGTTGTTATCATAAAATATTAAGATATTGCAGTGGTTGCTCTGCAAAAGAACAAAAACTAGCAAAAGTTAAAATTTTGCAGTGCTTTCTACACAATGTAAGTTGCCTGTTATAAATAGATCTGAAAACTAGGAAGTCTCGAATAATTTTCAGGAAATACAAAGGTGATAAAGCACCTTAAGTGGTTGGTTCCCACAAGAATACTTAGGAACTACCATACAGAATTTTGCTTTTGAGTTTCATTTTCTCTCCTTTGCATTCTTGTGGACTATGGTTTAAGCTGTGACACTGCCACAAGCCCTGTGAATGGTAACAAACAGATGAAAGAAAGTGGTGGCCTGCCACCTGTTAGGTCCCGATCAGAAAATATTCTGTGCCAGTCCAGTCCATGATCTAGGGTGGGAATCACCTCACTGATTACCTTATTCACCTGGAAATCTGGTCTG